TAAATTGGAACTTTGAGCAATACTTTGCCTTGGACTCTGATTTAATTTTGGATGCTATTTGGAACATTGACACCAAGTTGATGGCTTCCTCCGAGTGAGTAGGAGTTCACTTTTTGAGTAGTAAGAATTATATGTCATTGGGGGAGAAGGGGACAGGGTTTTACAGATGCTTAGGTAGGGCATGGCCAAAATAAGGTTGGGAACCACTGGTTTAGGAGTAATATGTGGAGCAGCCTTCCAAGTCAATAAATTATACAGTGCTAAATACATTTCCTATTAAAATAACACAGGCTGCTATACCCCACTAAATCACGCTTTTGGCGAAAACTCACCTATTTCTAATATCCTTCTTTGCAAGGGTGTTGGGAGAAGAAAAGTTTCGTCTTTACACGACCTTGTTAAAGTGCCCACCAATTCAGAATTGGTGGCCAATATACGTGCGCTCTCTTCCGATAGATTGACTCCTGCCATCGAGGCAACGTCGTTAATATCATCATCATCCCTTCAGAGAGAGAGAGAAAAAAAAACATCTTGTTAACATTTGCAAAAAAAAAAAAAATGCTATCCACGGGCTGAGAATTTACAAACAGTTTGCTGACTCTAAACTAAAACAAAAACACTTTTCTAAGGACACGAAGTGAATAGTACTCCTGGTATAGAATTCACAGAACCTCTCCTCTGGCTGGAATGACACTTGTCAAAAGTGTCTGATGTGTGAGAAGTGTGTTCCAAGGCAGATGGGGAGCAGGGGAGGGGGGGAGGAGATTCAGCTCGCTGAAGTATTCAATGGCCAGCAAGGGGTGCTATTTCCTAACATGAAAAGCTCACTCCGTTACGTGACGCTAGGGACTAACTCCAGAACTCCCCAGCCAGCCACGGAGCTGAAGTCCACAAGTTTTTAAGTTGCCAAACTTGGACATCCCTGCTTTAGGACGAATATCTCTCCGGTAAGGCTGCCAAATCAGCTCCTGTCCCCAAGTAATCTATAACGGTAAAGGTTCCCCCGCACATGCGTGCTAGTCGTTCCATGGCTCTAGGAGGGTGGTGCTCATCTTTGTTTCAAAGCTGAAGAGCCAGCGCTGTCCAAAGACGTCTCCGTGGTCATGTGGACGGCATGACTAAACGCCGAAGCACTGTTGAACCAAAGTTGTCCCTATTTTTCTACTTGCATGCTTTCGAACTTCTAGGTTGGCAGAAGCTGGGACAAGGATTGGGAGTTCACTCCGTTACATGGCGCTAGGGTCTCGAACCGCCAAACTGCCAACCTTTCTGATCGACAGGCTCAGCGTCTTAGCCACTGAGCCACCGCGTCCCTTTAGACCCCTTACTAAAAGAATGTAAAAAGAGACCACTTGATGGATGACTTTTTCCTACTCTCCTTCCCAAGTTTAAAATTATTTTTACAATCAGAAACAGGGTTTAGGCAATGTCGCCAAAAGCCCCACCCTGTCTTTTGTTTTAGTAAACATACCCATGCTCGCCTATATCGATCTTCTCCTTCCAAACCCCACAACGCATCCCTTAAGTGTCTCATTGGAGTGGGACTGGAGGGCTTAGCATCCTGTTGCTCTAATCCCCAGGCCATTATGTATAATCACAGATAGCATGAATTAACCCTGCTTTCTCCGATCTGGCATTTTCCAAGTACCTTGGGCTACAACTTCCATAATTACCAATCAATATAGCCTGTTTATCTTGGAAAAAACAGAACAACAGATGGAAGGGACCCTGGAGGTCTTCTAGTCTAACCCCCTGCTCAAATAGAAGACCCTGTTCTATTTCAGACAAATGGCTGTCTGGTCTCTTTTTAAAAATCTCCTGATAGAGCAATCACAACTTCTGGAGATATGCTGTTCCACTGATTATTTGCTCAAACTGTCAGGGAATTTCTCTTTGGTTCTAGGTCAGCGATGGCGAACCTTTTTGACACCCGGTTCTCAAACTGGAACACATGCGCATGTGTGCCCATGGGCGCATGCCGGAGCACTAGAAACCAGAAGACCAGCTGGCTGGTGCGTGCATGTCAGGATTTTTTTATATTTTATTTTTCCCTTTCAAATTCATTCACAAATACACATTCTTATAATTGCTATTAACATTTATCTATTCATCATTAACCTTTATCGTTATTTTCTTACACATATATAGAATACAGTTATGGTCGCTTCCTTGCCACCCCATGCCTCCATCTTATTTTGCAACAACCTTGCTCCTTCTATCTTCTCAACCTCCCTTTCTGCCTTCTTCATTCTTCCTCTCTTTCCTCCTTTCTTCTTCCCCTCCCTTTCCCCCACTCCTCCTCTCTTCTCCTCCTTCTTACCCTCTGTCCTCCTCTTACTTCCCCTCCTTTACTTTCTCTGCTTTACCCTTTCTTCCTTTCCCTCCTTGTCCTCCCTCCTTTCCATTGTTGCCCTTGCTTTTCCTCTCTCTGATGGGTTCTCGGGGTGGCATTTCAGCAATCCCAATTTTATATTTTCATACAATATAATATAATATGCAATATATCACGCATGCCAGTTTTTGGGCTGATTTTTGGGCCGTTTGGGGGGGGGGGCAAAACACAGCCTGGAAACAGCCCCCAAAATGGCCTGGAAAATGGCCAGAAAACAGGTTGTTTAGAGGGCATTTTTAGGCTGTTTTCTGGTGCTTCGGTGCCGGCGAAGACCAGCTGGCTGGCGCGCATGCGTGCACTGGAAACCAGAAGAGTAGCTGGCGATGGCACGCATGCCCACAGAGAGGGCTGTGTGTGCCACCTGTAGCACGCATGCCATAAGTTCCCCATCACGGTTCTAAGTTGCTCTACTTTGTTGACAACAGCCCCAATTCCACACAATCAGAGGAAGAGAAGTTAAATTAAATGTTGAAAAATGGAGCTGAACGTAAGCAGAGTAACCTTTATCTTTTTATGAGAAGCCTTCAAAAAGTCCAGAATTTATTTCCTAGCGTTACAAACTCTCTTTTGCTGAGGAAGCAAAAGAAATCAGGAAAAACAGAATACATGTCATTTTTTTTTTTCCTTCAAGAGCAAATAAGATCGCTTACCGAAATGAGCCTCCCCCAGGTTCTTTGAGTTTATTTTTCTGAGCAATTGCAGCTTGGGTTGAAAGAGTAGAAAGAGCTTTGGTTCCTGGTAATACTGTTTGCTTTACCACGGGGACTGTAAGAAAAAGAAACCAGCATGGGTGCTCCGGAGGCGAGATTAGCACACCAAAAACTGCAGAAAAAAATCTATGCAAATTGAAGTTGAGGGATGCAAACTTGCTTATTACTCATGATTTCAGGTAGCTCACAAATCCAAGCTTGCTTTGGGGAAGAAATGGGAAAATATAGCTCTGATTTCATTATACCTTGTGTTTGTTCCATCATCATTTCTGTACAGAAATGAAGCATCTGAAACCAGAGCTATAATCAGAGCTTACAATGACAATGATCCTAATTCTAAGTTTATTCAAGGTAAGGGAGGGGAGAGGGGAGAAGAGAGGAAAAGGAAGGGAAGGGAAAGGAAAGAGGAGAGGAAAGAGAAGAGGAGAGGGGAAGGGAAGAGAAGAAAAGAGAAGGAAAGGAAAAAGGAGGAGGAGAAAGAGGAGAGGGGAGGAGAGGAGAGAGGCTGGGATGAGAAGGGAAGGGAAGAAGGAGAAGAGGAATAAAGGAAAGAGGAGAAAAGGAAAGAGGGGCGGAGAGGGAAAGGAGAGAGGATTAAAATACACAATTCAGAATTTGATCTGGTCAGTAAAATGGCAGATAATTCATACTGTTCATCGATAGCCCAGACCATCTCTCTCAGCAGCATATTTTGATTTATTCCAGTTTCCCCCCTCCCCCCAAAAAACCCAAACCTACAAAGACCTTATTATAGAAGATGAGCAGGCTAAGCCCAAGGAGAGGGTTAAACGTATCAAAAGTTTGGAGTCATTATGTTCCCACAAGAGAATCCAGCCTCCTCACCCTCCCATCAATTCCGTTAACCCTCATGTAGCACCAATTTGGCTTGACCAATAGAAGATCAGATTCCCGTGTATAAGTTGGTGTGTGATAAACTTCTAGTGCTCTGAACTCAACTCGCGTTCCTGGTTACTTGCGCCTGACATTCGATGAATCAAACACTATTTCCAGGCGCAGTTTTACCAGCGAACACCAGATGTCACACCGAGAGCGCCTAGCTCTTACCTGTCTGAAGTGCATTCAGCTGAATTTGTTGAGGAGCGGTCAGCATAATACGGTTGTGCGGTGGCCGCAAAGCCACCATGGGCGTCTGGGTCAACGTCACCTGCGGAGGCCTAATTAATGTACCTTGTTTTTGAGACTGCTGAATAACCTGCAAAAAGTTTTGGAGAAACAACGACGGTATTATTCCATTATACAAGGACAAGTTTGCTTCTCAAAAGATTCAATAATTCAACAATCACTGTTCCTCCACTAGCTTCTTTGAGAAAAAGTTTAGTTTAGGTTAGTTTAGCTCACTTTATTGTCATTGCACATCGTACAATGAAATTAAATGCCATTTTCAGTTTGCATTATACTATAAAAAACAAAACACACACACACATCCTTCACACGCTATATACCGTATTTTCACGACTATAAGCCGCACTGAAAATCCTAAAATTTGATCCAAAACCGGCAGTGCGGCTTATAG